TGTTGTTGTTGTTGTTGTTGTTGTTGTTGTTGTTGTTGTTGTTGTTGTTGTTGTTGTTGTTTTGTTCAAAGGTTCTACAGGTGGTTCTGATTTATGTGATGTGTGTATATACAACCGGGGACGTTGAGTCTGGAAAAAGTACTGTAGTATATATATATAATATATATATATATGTGTGTGTTTCATGGCTGTTGCGAAAAGGGCCGCCAGGGTTTTTGTTCGTGGGGCTTGGGTTTGGGGCTCATGGGTCAGACTGAGATTGAGATCTGGTTTGGGGTCATCGGGATGTTGGTGGATCCAAGTGGGTGTGTACCCTACCCAGTCAGTGGATATGGTTTTCCCATGTTTTCCCCACTGAGCAAGAACGGGAAAGTTCGGTTCGGTTCGGGAGTCCCTGCATGCACCAGCACCCTCCAACAGGTCACCAATTGAGACCTGCTAGGGCCCTTCCCAACCCTCGAACGAGGAGACCTGTAGAGTCGGGTGCTGGTAAATGGATGTCTATAATTTGAAGGCCTGAGTTCGATGTTCATTTTCCTCCAAGTATACGGGCCTTCAGCCGACCCCACGCCACTCAGCCATTACCTCTCTCCAGATCCACCTGATCGAGGACGGCAGGTCACAGGTCAGTTGTCGAAGGCTTTTACGGCCTGACTCAGCCTGACCGGTCGAAGTATCTACTGGGCAAGCAGGTCAAAAGTCCGGAAATGGATTGCCAGGCTTTTGCAGCCTTACTACTAGGAACAAGAAGCTACTAGGAGCAAGGACGCCTAGGGGCTCCTGGCCTTTCTACTAGGAACAAGAAGCTACCAGAAGACAAGGGAATGAGAAGATCCAAAAAAGATCATCGGTGGAAATAGTGGGTATCCGCGGCCTTCTGAAATTTGAAGTGGAAACTCCAGCCCGCCCTCGCCACTCCCGGTCCAGTTTCAGCAGGTCTCCAACACAGTCGCCTCGTTCGATCTCCGTCGTCGCTTTCGGACGCTTCGAGGTGATGTTGTTGGACTTCGAGATGAGTGGCCGAGCGACGGGGTCCTTGCTGGGCATGAACGATGGGCCCTACTGGACCTCGCAGGGCCTCTTCCGGGCACTAGGCGCGGATCGGACCCCGGGACCCGGACGGAGTGATGGAAGAGGGTGATGCTCTAATTCAAATGATTAGAATGTTGATATAGGATCATTAACAACACCTCTTTTCCAGTTTGGAAGGTCCAGCAACCGAATCCAATCACTGAAAATCACATCCCAAAGACGAAATCTCTTAATGAGGAGGGTCGGGCCTGGGTGGGCTTGGTTTGGAGTGTCTAAAAAGATCTAAGAAGCTTCTGCGAGTGTATTCTATTCTGTTGCAAGTTGGCAATTATTCAAAGCATGGTACTGTACCTTTATGATCCTTTATGTTCAACAAAGTACAGTGGGAAACCTCCGGTAAAAAGAGACGACGGTCCCCTACGAGGGGCGCATGTAATAAAGCTTGGTTGGTGAAGCCACCGAAGATGTTTATCCAGCAGCTGTTTCAAGTAAGTTCCCACGAGGTCATATACCACCAGCTGACATATGAGCTGCTTTGCGTTTGAATTCATGAATGCAGTCCATCCAGCCCAGCCGTGTGAACTGGAATGTTTTTCATGCTTATGCTCGCATGCAAATTGCCCGTGAACATCTGTGAACTATGGCATTTCGACTCTTGTTGTTTTCCAAACACATGTGTGCGGTCGAACACTGCCACGTTTTTGTTTGTGTACACATTCGGAGGATCTCGGAAACGTCCAAATTAGGCTCGATGAACTCGTCAGCGCTGCGTACTGAACGGGCCATCAACGGCACGACTCAGCATGACGCCACAGCAGAAGGAGTTCATAGGAGTTCTACGATACCCAGACCATCTACATGAATATTTATACATATTTATACATTGACATTGGTGTGGTTTCAGGGATCAATGTATATATAGGAATATTTTCCATGCATGGATGATCTGGGATATATAAAGCAAACCGTAAAGGTTGAGCCAACAGCAACTCCCGCATGTTTTGCTGGATGTTTTTCATTAACATACACGTCGCCATTGATTTCAACATGATCCCAAAAGAGTCCCGTGCAACAATTGCCACTTCGTGTCTATGCTTTCAACTTGAGTCCATCGAATGCAACATATCATGAACGTGAGGGACTGCAGTGGTTCTCACTGCAGTTGGCTTGGCGCTTTGGTGTTTCTGCGAGAACTCGCTTGCAGAAGCATCGGTGGACCGCAAGGGCTTCGGTGTTGCAAAGGGGGGAGTGATGGAGGAACTGCAGGCTGTGAAGAGCTCGAGCTCCCGCGAGCTGACCAAGCTTTGGACCACGAGCTTTGACATGGAGGGCATGCCTCAGCAGACAAGGAGTTGGTGGCCTCCGGTTTCGAGAAGAAGAAACTCTAGACACAGCATTTAGAAGATGCCCGACAGTCACCTGAAGAGAGGAACAGGTTTTTCCCCGTGAGCCAAGCATGATAAGGGGCTCTTTCAGCCCGCCTTTATGGCCCTGCCACGGCTGGCGCAGGGGCATTCACTTGTGAACCTTTCCATTCGTCAACTCAGAGATCAATTCGAGTCAGCTCAGAGAACCTCTTGAAGGGACTACTTCGGGACCACTAGGCTCCGGGCTCTCAGATTTCGCCGGAAGGAACTCCTCAAGCCTCCAGCCTGCTCTTCTTCCGGAAAGCAGCGAAATACAAAAAACGCCTGAAGAGAAATAGATGGTCCTGTATTCGGAGAAACTAACTGAACTATAACATGCTGGTCGGTACACTCCCTGCCAAATCCGGTTTCCACAAAAATTATCTACTTTAGCTGGACATAGCTTCAACCAACCAGTGCATGATATCAACCGACCAATCCACGGAGAGGGTTTCATGTAGACTGCCCACTCCTTTGGAAACTTTGAAACATGTTGACAAAACAGTGACATGGAAAAAAGAAACAAGACAGTAAACGTCAGTAAACATACTAAACATACTAAACATCGACCTGTACCTAAAAGAATCACTGGGCATTGATCACCAGACAAAACTGGACTCTGAGAGCTACATCGGATTTGGAACATGTAGTAGATTGAGTGTCGGTGGATGGTGGTTGTGGTCCCTTTTGATCAAAACCACGTTTTACTTCAAGAAGATTCTGCTGTGCTCCCAGCGCACTTGTTTGAATCACAGATGTTGGGCACTCGTCTAAGTATGGCTCATGCATGCTCACGCTATATTCCACTACAAACCCATAAGGTCTTTGGGCAGGGACAAAGGACTGGCGCTGCACCGTGCAGATCCGTGCAAAGGATATACAATGTTGTCCATTGGTCACTCGTCCCACCTCGCCCAGAATTGGCTTAAGGGAACTGTTCTAGGAAACCCATATTTTTGTTGGTGAAAACCATGGTTTCCTGATGTTTCCTATATATAGATGTTTTTCCCGTTCCACCAATCCATTGGTCATCTCCATCCCGTATGGTGTCAACGAAGACGAAGACGAAGACGTCACAGACTTCGCTTTCACCTGGGCGCGACACATCACCCCACAGCGACTGACGGAGGCATCACCTTTGACGTGCTCTTCACCGTGGAGTTGGCACTTCGCATTGCCATCGAGGGCTACGGCTTCGTGAAGGAGTTGAGAGTCAGGGCGAGAGAGAGTTAGGCACTAGCACGACTGACATGGGTGACATGGGTGAAGGTTGGGTGGCGTGCTACGCCTTTGTGATTGGTTTGTTGCACGGGTCAAGAATTAGACGTTCTAGAAAGTCGATGCACTACTTCAGGCAACATTCATACATATGACTCTATGACAAGCACATGTACTGTACGACCAGCTTCATGTTGGTGTGACATGTGAGGGAAAACCACTGGACTGTGAACTGTGACTGTGAACAAAGTATTCGCAGATGTTCCCTCAAATCCCGTAGTCCATCATGGTGCATAGAAGCTTGTGATGTTTACAGATGTCCCATTTCCCGGGGGTCAACCTGACGTTGCCACGGTTGCCAGACATCATTTGTGTGGCTGAGCTGAGCATGCCAAGAGTTGAACATTGGTGTACAGTGTTGTTGTTCAGGTCTTATATGCACAAATCCAAAAAAGACACGGACGTGTTAGCATTTAGGTGTTGGTTTCTTGCAGATTTGTCCTCTACAGTTTGCAAGATTTGAATGACTTTTAGCTGGTAACTGGGTTGAGTTCAGAAAATGGCGCAACCGTTTGGCAATGTGGTGGGAGACATCTCACCATGGTTGGCCTCCTGTCTGAGCCGTCCCATCAGCCTCGTCCTGCAGGATGCGGCCAACCTTTTTGATAGTGTGCTGGTCACAGCCGGCTTGGCGGTGCCCTGGCCACGACTGACATGGGTTTGCAGGGTCCAGTCACTGGAGGATCCTGTTTGGGATTGGCTTCAACGATGCTGACCCACCAGTGCTTCTTATTGGCCATCGCGGCCATGGGACAATAAGAAAGCACAAGGTGACATCACCTCCAAACAAGGCGGTTCTATAGGGGGATGCTGGGGGCACTAAGGATACTAAGGATCTTCAAATTAAAAGACGTTGTGTAATTACCAGGATCATCCAATGGGTGTCCAATAGACTACGCTACCTTACTTACAGGCCTCCAGACAGGGCACCCCTTGAAGGTCCAGGTATGTCGTTGCCTCGTCTCCAGAGGTAGAAACCTCATCACGGGACTGACACTGTGGTGAAAGGTGGGTTTCTACTAGTATGGTGCTGGGGTGGCTACAGTTCTTTGTATTGGACCTTTTGAGTCCCAACACTGCGTGGTGGCTTGGATTGCGTATGTCTTGTGTTCAATTACAGTATCGGCTATAGAAGACATATTTGGGAAGTTTTGATCACCAACTGCGCAAACTTAACTGCGCAAGAAAACCCCTTCGCGACGGTCGAAATGGGTTGGAAGGTGGTGGGCGTGGGCGTGTTGACCGCGTTGTCACGATTCATGGTGTTACAGCTCACGGGTAGGGGTTCATTCCCCATTCATGTCATTTCCCATTTACAAGAGAAGCAACCCATGCTAATTCCGATTCTCTTGAAGTGTTTTGTCGCCGGCCTTCTCTTCTTTCCCCAAGATGTGCTGGAAAGTTTATTGTGTTTCATCATCTTACATTTTTTTCACATGCCTGAACATCCTGGCTTCTAAGCAAGGTAGAGAGCTACTTCTGCCAGTACCATGTTGTTGGTTTGGTTAACTAAGTAGTAGTTACATTGAGCAGTTAGTGTGTGGTTTGTTTTTTTTTTAATAGTGGGTCTTAGACAAGACTGGAACTCATCAGTTGCCCGGAAGGCATTCATGTGATACAATCTGTCCTGCAAAGGCTCGCCAAGCTACTTGCGTAGGCTTCACAATTTCACACAGGCGGAGCCAATTCACGAAGGCAAGTTTAGACTTGAGGAATGGCAGCAAAAAGAGACCCAAAAGCCTGTCCAACCATTCCGCGAAGCCACTTGCGAAGCCCCGCGAAGCCAATTTCTCCCTAAGCTATTGCACCAGTAGGTTACAACCACATGAATAAAACATGCTATCAGTTGCTTCCTCCAAACCCAAGGGAATGTTCTCCCAAAAAAGAAAACATTGCCTTTGGGAGGAGAGAGCCCTTTGCTCATCAGGAGCACTTCCTGCTCTTGATCATTCCAGAAGAACCGGTGGGCTCACAGCTGATGCGTGCGTTGAGACTTGGCGTTGTGGCGTTATCTTTTTCAACAGAGAAGGCATCTTGCAAACGAATGACAAAGGCGTGTGGAAGACAATTTGTTGGTATTTGCACATGATGGTTGTTTTTTTCCCCAAGAGACGTGGAGGAGACTTGTTGGTATTTACAGGTTGGCAGCTTGCCCGCAATGTCCTTTGTTTCTGCCCATGTCTTATGCACGCTTTCTACCTCTTTCCCACGCTAACATAGCCCCCAATTGTTTACACTCTTCTCAACACTTCCTGCAGGGGCTAACTGTTCATGGTATTTGTAAAGATCTATTTAGAAGACAGTTTCAGAAGCATGTGTATTTTTGTTGGGAGTGAGCATTTGCTTTACTGAGCTGTTCAAATCAAGGACCTGTTGGACAGTTGGACACTCCTCAAAAGACACCACTCAACATTCCTAGGTGACGAGGACCAACCAAGCTGGGCACTTGGAGGACCATCCATCATCTGGAAAGTCAGCCTCCAGGACCCTTTTCTGGAGCATGAAAGTCCAATGCCAGATCCAGGTCCCGATGGATCCAGTTTCTGACCGGTTTTCCCCCTGTCTCAGCTTCTCAAAGGGTCAACTCACTCTTGAACCTGAAGAGTCCTTTTGGTTTAGAAGAGATTCCTACTAAACCGAAGGTGAAACCCAGGACGCCGCTGAACAGGCTGGACAGCTCCAAAAAGGCTTCAGCTCAGTGTCCTCGCCGCCTCAGTCTCTTCACTCACTCTCTCGGCTGCGGTCACCGAGGAGTTCCATCCGGGCCGTGCGGATGTTGCGCGCCTTTCGCTTCTCACAAGGGCTGAAGCTGCTGCCCGGCGGTGACAGCGTGAGACACTGCCCTCTTGACCGGTCCGACATGCGGATTCGGGTCACATGACCGAACCTACCCAGTCTGCCTGACCTTTCGATCCGGTTCAGCGATCCAGGGTGGTTTCGACATGTCTCGAACTGGGTTCACGATCAGATGAAATCTATCTCGAGCTAGGGCTCCTTTCCAAAATTCGCCACCGGTGGTATTCAGAGATGTGATTTGGTCAAAGTTCCCCCTTTGCCAGGCGAGTCTGATGATAGCATTTATTATTGGAAGAAACCAAGCATCAGGCGTCAAGGCACATCAGTGATATCATCAGGAGATGTACAGTGGTGGTGTTCAGTTCACTGGTGAGATATGGAGTGATGATAGGCTGCTATTATATAATCATTTGATGATATGATCTTGCCACTCCAACCGATGATTCTAATACACCCTCGGCTTGTCACCAGGACCGGACTCCAGACATAGAAGATCGCACGAATCCAGGTCACCCGTGAACCTGAAGTTCCCATTCTTAGACCGATTTGAGCCAATGAGCACGGCGGTGTCACCGATTTATCATGTTTTTTTTCTGATGGGGCCTCACTATGCCTCACCGGCATATCTCATCGATGTCGCCAGATTTGGGACACCTGCCATCCGCGACTTCCAACACCTGCGTCATCCAAGACCTTTCCCCACATCATCCCGCTTCATCTTCATCTTAGACCCTGATGTTTTTTGGTCCTTCGCCCGCACAAAAAAAACATGTGCGGAAGATGAGGAAGAACACACCGGGCCGTGTCCGGTCTCGACGGAGGAGAAGACAGTGTGTCGCTGAGGTTGCTGAACGCATGCCAGTCCTTCATTACTTCCTTATGCTGGTCCATGGCCTTTTGGGCTTCAAAACCAGACGAGATGGCACGATAGAGACGAGACCGAGACTTCCTATTCTCGACGGAGAGAGGAAGTCTCGGTGTCCAGCGAGGTGGAGGGTACTTGTTCTAGAAAAGGGAGTGACGGAGTGACTGAAAAGGATGGTTGGTGCACTGGTGGTGCGAAACGACGATCGATAGAGACCTACGTGGACTTGTTGATTGACACATATTTCAAGACCTCAAAGTGAACGATTATGTTTCTCAATGAAACCTCATTTGACCCCCCCTTAGAATATGACATTTGTGACAGCTAGTCACCTAGTTGCGTTTAAACATGTCTGTCCTGACCTCAGCCAAGTTCTCCACATGTTTGCTATGCTTGTTGCAGTTCAACCATGTGAAGTTCCAGCCTATTCCAGTTCATGCCAGCCTCAAAACCTGTTCTTCCGGCTTGGGGTCCGGATCCTTGCGACACAATTTGGGCGATGGCATGGGAGGATCCGGTCCGACTGCTGTTGGCGAGCTCCAAAAACCGCCCAAAGGAAGAAGTGTGGAGACTGGAGATGGTTGGGATGGGAGATGGTTTCTTCCCAAAATGGTTTGGATCCACTGCCACCCTGAGAGAGAATCAGATTGGAGTGTGTCTCTGGCGGTTCGTAGCGAACTGCAGTCGTAGCGGTTCGCTGCCCTTTCGGTAGGCTCCAGGGGCCACCGAAGCTGCGAAAGGTAGCGACCTGAGTCTCGCTATGTCTCACTGAGGTCCTGCTGGGCGTGGTGATGGTGGTCGCGTCCCTGATCATCGGGAATCTTCTCCAGGCTTGACTACAGGGACGGCTGAATCGGGCTGAAGAACCCCCGCGAGACTTGTTCCTTTTTGTTGCGTTTCTTCTTCGATGCGAATTGGTCTCTTAAGCAAGATGAGTTCATGGTTCGTCTAAGAGATCATCAGGACGAGTTCATGTATTTTTTCAATGTCAAGCTCGAGTGACATTTGTTGGTTGAAGTTTGGTTTTGCCGCACTTGCACGTAGAAGGTAATGTTTGTTTGTTCCATGCCCCAAGGAAAGGGTCTTTGGACATCGAGACACCCTCACAACAGTGAATGCAGCATGTGTTGGTTCTTGTTTCAGGCCATCTCCTTTGACTTACTATGATATAATTGAATGCTCAGTGTATCTATAGGACGACGCTTGCGAAATCTTGCGGATTATCATGATAAAACACAAGGCTTGCTGCAATCATTGGCAACACATCTATACAGGTCTTTAGATATTGTGTGTTGTTTGTTGTTCTTGTACCTTGAATCCCAAGCAAGGTCATCACTATCTTGGTAGGGATCTCCTATTCTACATAAAACGTACTAATTTACCATGTGTCCATATGTTTACCTTGACTTGCAACTCTTCAGTCGACCTCGGTGCGCATGCTGTATATATGTTTTGTGTAGTTACTATATACATGGCTTGTCTTCATGTCCGAGGGAGGAAATCTGGCAACCCCTGGCACCTCCGCCTGGCCATCCGGAGGATAGCCTCCCGCCCGACCGGACCACCCGACACTGGGTGACCGTGGACCAGGATTACTTGCGGAATGAGGAGGTGAGTTTGGAAGACCGGGAAAAGAGTCTTGGACCAACAGGTCGATTTTCCTCCAGCTTCTGAGGATGCTGGCGGACCTGGGGTTGGCGTTGGACCTGGATGGACCTGCATGGACCTGGGGTCTGCTTACTTCGGGATGTCCTCAACCCGCTTCCCCCCTTTTACATCTGAAACATCCGTCCGTCGGGTCGGTCCTGCGGGGACCGTAAAAACCTTGGAAGGACCGTGGGGACCTTTGTTCAAGGCACACTATGGCTAAACTGACGTTGCCTATACTTTGCCCTTGCTGGGTCTTAGAGGGCAGGGAGGGCATATACTGGGTGACCAACAAAAACTCCTCTTCCGGTGTTTTTTTGTTTAAGGGATGTGATCCCAGATGATCCCATGAGTTAAGTCGAAGCCTTGGACAAGTATCAGGACATATATTGGGCGATGCTAGCCATGCGACCTTGTAACACCATGCTGCTTTGTTCATCGGAACTAAGTTCTTCTCTAAATGAACCAGGTGAAAGACCGGTGGTCGCGTGCCGCCTGTCACATCGCACGCCACCCCACCACAAGACCATCAATAAGGAGCGACGCACCGACCCACCAAGGATCTGGCGCTTTTACGGCACCGCCTATCGCTCCTGGTGCCTCGGACGCGCTCGCGCTCGCGAACCTGCTTCACCGTCGGACCGGAGGGGGAGGGGTCTGACGGGTGTCTAAACCGGGTGTGGTCCTTTCAAGCGGAGCCGTTCATGAGAGTGACAAAAATGACGAACACATGGAGGTGGTGGATGGGGGATGATGGGGTGGAGACGGGGATGGAACAGGCCCCTTGTGGCCCCCCTGCATGCCTGGAAGAGCATGTTGCGAAGGCCGAACAGGGGGTGAGCTCCACTTTGATAGTTAGTGACTTGGAATGTAGAGTGTAGAGTAAGGGGAAGTCGCGTTCTTTTTCGGAATCAGAGGTGGAAGACACATGAAGACCATTTTATACAGGACATGTGTGAGCTAATCATCAGAAACCTTATTGGAAGAGCGTCCTCTCAGATTTTCTGTATATTTGCCTGACGATCCTGACGTTGACATGTTTTTCTGATCAGTCTTGGTCTTTCGATGATCTATTAGAGCTTTTTTGTGATGCCATGCAGACTCACCCACTCCGCCTCACTCACTTCAAATCATTCACCCACTCGCACACAGAGCATGGACAAATTACTCTACTTCGAGTGATCCCCGCCATGACATTTCAATCATTTGTCTTCATGCCATTGTGAGGAGCATGTTGCCATGGTCATGAATTTTGTGGTTCTCGACTTTGTTTGTGGGTCTTCGGGTCGTGTGCTGTGATTGTTGTTGTGTGCTGTGGTTGTGCGTTGTGGCTGTGTGTTTGTGGCTGTGTTTGTGTGGTCGTGTTTGTGGTTGTGTGTTTGTGGTTGTGTGTTTGTGGTTGTGGTTGTGTTTGCGGCTGTGTGTTTGTAACTGTGTGTTTGTGGATGTTCTTGTGTTTGTGGTTGTGTTTGTGAGTGTACTTGTGTGGTTGTGTGTTGTGGCTGTTTGTTTGTGATTGTGTGTTTGGGCTTGCAGTTGTGTTTGTGATTGTGTTTGTGGTTGTGTTTCTGGTCGTGTGTTTGTGATGGCGTGTTGTAGGTCCGGCCGGCGGCACTGCCATCCCGAGCTGGCGGTTGAGGTCCGGCGGGGAACACTGCCATCCTGCACTTGCCCCGGGGACGATGATCTCCTTGGTGCGAGCGTGCAGCTTCTTGTTTGTACCAAGCACGTGCATGGCCCTTTCTCGAGGGTAAGTCGCTGAAGCAGTGGTCTGCCACTTTGGCGCGATTTCAATGGGCAATTGATCAAAAAACATGAAGAAAGGAAAATCGCATCTTTCAAAAAAAGAAAGAGAGTTCGATCAAGACCTTCGGGCACCATCAGCAGGCGGGGATTTCCTCGCTGATCGGAATTCCTGAAAAGGAACATCGGCAGGACTTTGTATAGTCCAAAGGGAGACACCAAATAGGGCTGCCTTGGGATTTCGGCACTCTGCTGGTTGCGCTGGCTGTGCTTTATTTGCTTTTTTGCGCTGTTGCCTGCCCGGTGCTTCTGCTGACTCTAGCCTCTTGGTTGCATTAAAGACGGGCTCCCTCATCGACGCGCTGGGCCTTTCGCGCGCTTTGGTGACGCACGGAGCTTTACGAACTGGACCGTGCACTTGGACCAGGACTGGGGCGAGGAGAAGGAGGACGGCAGCTGACATAAAATCTATCAACCCTCACCTGACAGGTGGGGAAAATGATCTAGCTGTGCTTTATCCTTGGGTCGCTGGCCGCACTTCAGCCACCTTTGCCCCCTCCAGCCTGACCTCGGACAGTAGAGTACTCCGCATACTCTAGTTTCTTCTTTTGTGCAAACTTGTCAAGTCAGTCAAATCAACCACAAGGGGTGTGTTTGCCTCCCAAGGTACACCTTGTATGAGATAACTTTTGCAGGCGGGGCTACCAGGGCGGGGCGCTGCGCACTATGGCTATGGTTGGGGTAAGACGAACATGATTGGTGCACACTGGAGGAAGGGAGAATGCTCCCTGGCCGACAGCCCTGCAACAGCAAGCCTTTTTTGTTACCCTCCCTCCGACAAACATGGAAGTGGACAACTTGACAACCCTGTTTGTGGAGGACAATGGTCTTTCCAGGGCCATGGCGTCCTTTTCCATGATTGCTTCAGAGGGTGTAGTGTCATGTTGCACTTGTGTACTTAGGCTGCCAGGGGGGGGAGGGCTTCATAGTTTGTTTGATTTCAAGGTGTTGTTATTATGTCCAATCAACAGACAACAGGATGCCGGTGTTTCTGAAATGTCCATCAGTTTCCCACATGTTTTTGCTGGCTTGTGTAAAATCTTGGACAAACGCTCCAGGCTCAGAAGTTCTTGATGTAAATCATATATTTAAAAAACATAAATAACAAACTTTCCGCCGGAGGTGAGGACCCTTGGCGAACCATCCAAGCCTGTTCTTCCAGGCAACTGGCCGACCATGGCGCGACCGGTGTTGGACAAGGTGCCCAAACGATTTTGTTCATTTTCATATCGACCAAACAAGGACGAACTCGCCCGGTCGCCGCGATCCAAAAGAGACCCTCGCATGATCCGCGTACGTGATCCGCGTTTGGTTGTCGGTCCGTTGGTCGATATTCACCTTTTTGGATGACAGGTTTTCCTATTCAACAAAAACGGTGGAGACTTCGGTGACTTTGACGCGAATGGTCCTGGAGCTGCCCCACAAAGGATGTCATGGAAAGGAAAGGGTGGAAAGTGAACGAAGAACCTTCGATGTTCGAGCGATCTCTGGCATCGGCAGTCAGCCGGATCGGCGGCCTGACAGAGGATTCCTTTGCACCCCATCTCGCGACGCCCAGAGCGAGATGTGTTCCGCCACTTTGGTGTCACATTTTCTTAGGGCCTGTGGTGAAAAAAAACACATTTCCTGAGAAAATGTTTGGGTTTGCATCCACTGGGCACTATGAGATTCTATGAGTGTTGTGTTTTTTCCGTTTCAGGTTAGTTCAAGATCAAAGAAGAACTCCGCAAATTTGAGATAGAGCCATGTGATGGTTTGAAAGGGCATTCATTGTAGCGTTTGGTTTCTTTGGATCCAGTCTGACTCAGTGGCTTCAGGGCAGACGCCGCCGACACCCCCATCTCAAAGAGTTTGTATAGTCTTGCATTTGAGATCCTTGCAGCGTGCGCCGCATGTATATCATGAAGTGAGGGAAGTTTCTGGTTTGCATTCGTACCCTTCCATGTTCGATTGTTGGAAGGCTAGGCCGTCTTCGCAGACCATTGACTGACAAATCAAGGAATCTACGCAGCAAAACGGTCCAAGAATCCGTCCTTTCACGAGACGGTCGCCATAAACGATCTCCTTTTAACGAGTGTGACAATGGCCTCAATGAAGGTAGTGACAAAAGGACCGGTAACTACAGGATGGTCACAGGTCTGGCCAAGGCCAGCAGGTGAAGAGAAACTCCAGATACATCAACCTCACAGTCGTCGAATGAACACGGTTGGGGCTCTAAAGCATCTCATGTGTCCTGGGAACTGATCGATCGATAACACTTGTGTGGGCAAGTCTTGTTCCTTATAGTCTTGTATGCTCAGGGAACTACTTGACTATAAGGTCTATCCCTACGAAACAAACAAAGCTGAGTTATTTCAATGGGATTGCTTTCCTGTCCTCAGCAAAGCGAAGTGCACCTCGGGAAGAACGGCAAGATAGAAGACCCTACAGGCAGTGGGATGGACGAAGTAACATGTGGATCACTAGGAATGAAGACCCTGCACCCAGTCGTTGAGCCGGACACCCAGTCCTTTCTGACGCGTGGAGGTGAATCATGGTTTTGTCGTCTTCTTCGTGCTCTATATCACGATCATCGTGTTCGCGCTCATCAGAGCCCCTTAGAAAGCGATGACATGTTTGTGATGACAGTGTTTTCGCCTCCAATGTGTACAACTGACAAACATCTTGGAGATGATCAAATTTTAAAGGGCTGACTGTGCCTAGTACTTCGCCTCTACCCTCTAGACATCTCCTCACCCATTGCCCCCCACCCCAAAAATGGGCATCCCAATGTATCCCTACCTTTTGTTTGGTGCCGGATTGGCTCGTTGCATCCTCTATCGACCCGTTGCACCCTTCGACCGGTGCAGCTGGTTGCTGCATGGCATTGAACCAAAGAGTGAGCCAACCCGACAGTCCTCCCGACGACGGAGACCCTATTCTTGCAAGAAGAGAGTCGACGAGACCAACCTTCAAAACTTGAAAAACATGAAAAACGGATGCAACCACTATATAATCCGACTTTTGTTCCAAGACAGGGAGTGTAAAACCACATGTACATATATATATATACAATTAGGGGTTAAAATATCATCGAGAGTGTACAATTAAATGAAGCTGAATTTCCCCGCTTTGTTGAGGCGGTTTATATAGGAATGGGTGTTGTAAGATCTTTTTACCGCCCAAGGCCCCAAAGGGAATGTGCTGATACACCAAGTCTACCTGGTAGATTTGGATTGGAGGTTGTTAACCACCCTGCACCACTGTGGCCAGGAAGTCACGAAGAGATTCACAGGTGGTTGATGGCCCGGAGGCAGCAAACCATTAGCACTTTGTGGGGAGTGTTTAAGCTTTGTGTAGCTGCACCTTTGTACAGGTGGTTGGTTTGCTTCTGATTGCTTCTGATCCACTGGTTTCCTGTTTTCGACGTGGGGACTTCGCTGGTTCAGGATAATGAATGGGGGTGTCCCTGCAGACCAAAAGACCCGCCGCGCAGTGTCCAAAGAGTTCTGACTCAGCCTCCAAGCCTTGACGCGTCAGGTCATTACGGCGGTGTTCTTGAAGGATACGCTCGACGCAGCCAACAATGACGCAGAGTAGGGGGCTCTCAGGTTGTTACGTACGTTCCGTTTTTTTGGGGGGTTGCGCAAGGTACCAAACTGCAAAGGACTGCAGACATGGCCTGCGACTGGGGTTACTGGTCGATGAAACGGAGTTCGCTTAAAAAAAAAGGGACTTAAAAAACGCGCTATAATAGTGGAAAAGCACATTCCTGAGGTTGGGATGTCTAGCTCTCCTCGAAACGAACTTCCTGGAAGGGTTGACCTCAAAAGCTGGCTCCCCCCTTTTCAGAGTGGCCTCAGATAAAACATACGTGTTTGTGCCCAGATGCGAAGGGGTCGGGCGATTCCGCGCTGCGCAAGGCGCCTTTTCTCCGTTTTGGGACGATGACGAACATGCGTGGATGGCATGGCCTGACAGGGAAGACTTTCCCTTACAAACAGGAGGTTTTTTTCCATTTCAATCTTAGTCTGAGTCTGAGTGTACCCGTGATACGCCCGACCCTCACCGACCCTCAAGGGCTACTCACCGACCGTGAAGGCCCCAAGGCTTCTCGCTTGGGTTCCAAGTGCCGGCATTGCTTGCGGCGTCCAGGTTGCTGCAGCTACAATTAGGTTAACGCCTCTTATGAGCTCCTATCATCATCATCACCATCATCATCATCGTCATCATCATCATCATGATATATATATATATATACAGATATACACATACATACAATCTGATCCGATCTGATCCAACAGTGGAAACTGGGATTTTGAAAAGGTGTTCATACCGGTTTCTTACAGCAGAACCTCCTAAAAACCATGGCTTAGGATCCACATGGGCGGACTCGTCGGTAGCTTGGCAGTCCGCTTGTAAGGAAGCAGCCAAAAAATGCTCGTGGATCTTGCTACATGTGCGGCGATGTTCTTATGACGACTATATATAAGTGTTTTGAACACACAGCAGTTAGTTGTTCAGTGCTGTTTCATTTCAGTTTAGCCAGTTGTGTTTCTGCGTGTGTTTACCTCTACTAGCTGTCTGGCTTTGTGGCAAGTGATTGAAGTCACCCAAAGTACTTCCAACATCTTCCAACACAGCTCTGACGAACGCATACCCACAGTTGACCCTTGCCCTTGGTTTTCCGGTCTGATTCCTGGCGTCATATGGTGTAGTGACATGTAGTGACAGGTCACCTTTCATGTTTAGTGCGGGTGTGGAACAACGAAAGGACAGGGATAGCATGCACCTGGGTCTTCCATTTTCATGTGGGGGTGTTTTGGGGCCATAGGGAGTAGCTGGGTAGACTGGTCAATGTTCCGAATCCGAACCTCCCCGTCCGTCTCAAAAGGGAGGTCTACATGTTTTAAGACTCGATGTGACCGGGCGGAGTCGACCAGCCAGTAGAACTTGAGTAGAACTTGCCCCAGCTTACTGAACAACAAGTGCATGTGGTGACCATCCCTATAAGGTTGACTGTTGATTGATGAAACCTCCCTCCTTGGATGGTCACTTCAGAACACAGCCAAAACTTATGTTTTTCAAAGAAATTACAGAAACCTTACCAAACAATACCCCTTTCCTTCCCCGCGGTGCCTCTCCCGGTGCCAGGCTCCGGATGGCTGAAGGCTTGCGGAAGAAGGCGGAATACGCCACTGGGCACCGAGTGTTGAAACACTCGCGGCGCGCTCGCGCGGGGCCAACGAATCCGCTGAGTCTTTTTCGCTGCGACGGAGCGAAGACAGCGTCGTTGTCCGGTCGTGCTTTTTGGGGTATCGAAACAGCTGAAGCAGTCGGCAGCAGTGGACCCTTGATCACAAACCCAGCCAAGCAATTCGGAATGGTTTTGTTGTTGTGATAGATGACGAATGATGATGAGTTGATAAGTATATGTATATATATATATATTAGATTGATGTGTGAAAAATCTGATTCAGAATCCAGGAATCTTGACACTCCAAGAAAAACTTGCCCAGGCCATGTGTTTGGGCATGTTTGGGCCATCCAGCTGCCAACCCATGGCATGACCTTTCCGAAAACAAACAAAAAAAAAAAAACGTTGTGTTTCGAAGAAGATAGAGGTGCGAATCACGCAGACTTCCCATAGAATCCGTGAACATCAGTTCATGGCATGTTCTTCCAATTAATGCTCATCCATCCATTCCATTTCTCTGAACAATCCGGTCCTCAGAAAAGCTCATTCTATTGCTGATCGTCTCTGTTTCCTCGAGACGGGCGTTTCTCTCGCCTCGATCATCCGGCAGCACTTCTTCTCGCCCAGGTCGAGAAGTTGGAAGGCATTTTCCAAGCGATCGATGACACAGGTCCGCTTGGTTTCCGCTCGCCGTGTCGGACCAGTGGGACCGACCAAAAAGAGAGAGAACAGACGGCGTTTGGTTGCTGACGTTTAGCTTTGTTGATGCTTGTGATGTGGTTTGTTATTGTACAGATGTTCATGGTCAAATTATGTATACTAATGTGCACGATTTATCCAACCATCATCTAATATGTATAGCCTAACATGCCTAACCATACAACAAAACACACCATTATTATTTAGTATCATACGCACACACACTTTTCAAGTGTCTTTCCTCTCTTCTTGGATGTATTCCCATCGGTACCCCCCACCCTTCATGAAACAAACCAGCTTTTTCTGCACAGATTCCAACTGGAGACACTTGTCACTCCGTAGACTACAACATCATACAACCAATCCGTAGTCTTTGGCACTTCTTCGCCCAGTGCGCAGGAATCAGACTCGCTTCTTTCGAGACATCGGCTCGGCCGAACAGACCCACCCGACCGGCAGTCCAACCGGCATTCCCAGCGGAGAAGATCGAGTGATCAGCGTGAACGGCAGGTGATGGCATGATCACGGAAGAGAGACTCACGCTGCTGGGCGACCACCGGTGTGCGGAAGGTGAGTTCACCCCACCGCCGGTCGCCGTTGGGGAGAGCGCTTTTTTTTGGGGGGTATCACAGATGGTTTCTCTCGCAGAGGCCAGTGCTGGGCATATAGATTTATGATGACCGACCTATTGTTTGAAAGTGTTTGGCACTGCATAGTGGCATAGCATAGTCAACAAATAGTAGCAATTTGGTGGAAGTATAAAGAGTCACTCTTTGCTCACTCACTATATTTTAACAAGTATCTTTATCCTGCCTGATTGAGCTTCCATTTGTTCTACAGTAATACACCCAAGTTCTTTTTGCCAAGAGTTGGACCAAAGACGGTGACCACATGCATCATAGTTGGATGGCATCCTACTCTTAGGCAGTTCTATTTTTTGTGTTTTTTACAACATCTTTCTGTGGGGTTCTTGCGTCCATTTGCGTCCCGTCGCCCGTCGCCCACCCTCAACCTGTCGCCCGTCACTGTCCCGTCACTCCCTCGCTCGCTCACTCACACAATCAAGCCATCAGTCAATCACTCTCACTCGCACTCGCACTCTCACTCGCACTCTCTCTCACTCACTCACTCACCCACTCACTCACTCACTCTTGCTCACTCTTTCTCGCTCACTCACTCATTCTCCCTCACTCATTCTCCCTTACTCGCTCACAGGCTCCCTCCCTCTCTCCCTCCCTCCCTTACTTTGGTATCTCGGTCACAAATTGATGCGACCAGGAACGTGGAAGCTCTTCCTGCGTCCTTGTGACGTCATTCTCCAAGGGCAAACTGTTCCCCCTTTGGATGAAGTATTGCTAATTTCTTCTGGCGGTGGTGCAGGGGCCATTGCCCTCAAAATGGTTGACATCCACATGGACCTCACAGGCGTTGGCGCCGCACAGGTGTCGGCTGGCGCTTTCAGCATCCTGTTATCCAGCCGAAGGCTAAAGAGATGAATGTGGGTTTGCAGGATCTTCACAGCTTCAAGGGTCCCATAGGAGTTGGTATTGGTCCTTTCTTGGGTGCCAAATGGTCCGTGCTTTTGGTTTCAACCTTCACTTGGGATGGTGCCTCATGTCTCACATGTTTCAAGTGAGTTGAAGGCCCCCACCAGTTTCCTTCTGCCAGGTGGAGTAAACAGTTCACCCCCCCAGTTCGCCCCGGTCCACGACTCGCCAAACCACGGAACGCCGCTGAGGTTTATTTTGGATAATCCCAAAGTCAAGGCCTACTTCCAAACCTTGGACGTCGACGTGCACGAAGGCAGGGGGCCGGGAACGCTTTGGGGGGCCGAGCCCGCCCGCCATGCCCCGATCTCGGAGCCGCCGGCAGTCGAACGGAGAGGTTCCGTGCGCAGGCAGTCGACGAACGGTCGTGTTTGATAGTGTTTGCATGCAAAAACATAATGCACGTGAAATCGCGATATCCAGTGCTGGTGAAAATTCCGAAAGTTGGGGCTAAAATTCCCAGCATGCATGGGCTGTTCCTGCTGCATCCATCGGTATCCGCACAAGTCCCTACAGTTGCCTTTGCAATCCGACTCCTTTCCTTTTAACAATCTCTGGAGTGAGCAGGATGTGGAGGCCTCCTTCCACTTGAAACAAGTCTGGACCTTTCGTCCGAACTGGAAGATAGGTGACTTGGGGGTGTCTTTTTTTGGTCCTACTGATAAGGGGCTAATCATGTTGATACGCGGAGTACAGACGGAGTACGAGAGGAGCAGTGGAGCAGTGCGGAGCGGCGAAGACTCATGTCGACCCATTCGCTGGTCCACCGTGCCAGGATGGGATCAAACTGACATCATGACATATACCGTTTTCCGGGGCCCAGGGTCTTTAATCTTCCGCGGGGTTGGTATGTTCATGTATTTTCTAAAGCACATTCTTCCATTCTTGTTGACACAACTCTCACCCACTGTTCAAAGGAGAAGGTGGCGAGAGCCTCCAAGTACAAGCTTCCAAGCTTTACACCCTCTGAAATGATAATTCAAGATGATGGAAGTGGCTTGGCACTTGTTGGTACAAAGGACGGTGGTCATCCAAGGGTCCATGCCTTCCAGTTTTACGATCCTTTCAGGGATTGTATTCAGTTCGCTTCGCAACGATAACCATCCGCACTACTTGCCCTGAGAGACAGCACAAGGAAAAGATTGAACACCGCCGCAGAGATCCACATATAGATACATATAGTATATTGATTCACTGCATAGTACGGTTCATCTCTAGGGCCTATGTTGATAGTTTGTCAAAATCGCTCTATGGTCCAAAATATATGTATGTATATAATATATAGTCTGTATAGTATGTAAGCTTGCAATGTTCTCCATTTATATGCTGTATACTTCATTCATACACTGCATGTTTATCTCTAGGTCTTACGTTGATCATGCAATATCAGGCATATTGTATAGCTTTGTGTAACAACTCTTTTTGCACCCCATTGAATTTGTATGTTTTGGCCCAAATTGTATCCAACAATACCTGCAAATGTATCCCCGGTAATCCCCGTTAAAATTCCTCTACAGAATGAGGGCCTCGAGGCCCTATATCAGCAGGTCATTTTGTAGACAACTCATTTTTGGCTCTACATAATGACAGCCATTTTCACGTTCAACATCATTTTGTAGAGAGGTTTCAAGGGTACCCCCATGTCAGGCATTTTGTAGTGAAAAATACATAGGATTTTGAGAATTTCGGGCTCGAACATTTGTCATGTTGTAGAAACAATAATTGACAGTCTCATTTTGTAGAGATTGTCGGGCTCGAACAACAGCATTTTGTAGAGAATGCATGTTGTAGGTATAACTGCGGAAGAGGCATTTTGTGGAGATTTTTGCGCGATGCATTTTGTAGAGATCTTCAGTCGAGTGTGGAAGTAGCATTTTGTATTGAATGTATCTTAAAGAGTTTGATATCATTTTGCAGGGATATTCGGGCCATTCGAGTCGAGTCTTCCACAGCATTTTGTAGACGTTTCCCCACCCCAATTTAGGTATCATTTTGTAGACTGACTTCTTTCGGAGGTGCCATTTTGTAGAGCCAAAACATGTTATTCTACAAAGTGACTGTCACGACCCCACTGTGTAGACTATTCAGACGCAAAAAGCAAGGCTCATTTTGTAGACACGAGATCCGAGTAGATCCGAGTGATCCGAGTAGGTCATTTCTTAGAGATGAATTCAACCCAAAAGGACTAGAGCCATGCTAGGGCCATTTGGTAGACAAGATGTACTTTGATTTCGACCTCATTTTGCGAGTCGGATGTCTTGTAGACAAGAACATTGTAGAGTCATTTTGGTACAACCGGGGTCATTTTGTAGACAAATGTCATCAAATTTGTCCACAAAATGATGTCATGTACTTCATTTACTAGGCAAATCAAATTTTCAATTTTATACGAAATGATGTCGCGTAAATCATTTTGTAGGATGAAGGTGCCATTTTGTAGAGGCAAAAGCGTGTTTTACAAAATGCCTGTCACCACCCATCTCCTATATTTTAACGGGGATACAAATGTGTTATTTCCCCATTGTGTTTTGTTTGTAAACATTTATCAATATGTTTGTTCACCCACTGCATGGTGCCGTTCATCTTTAGGTCTTATCAGTCTTATCTCGATCATGCATATTGTATAGTTTATTGTAACCGTTCATCTTCAGGTATTCATGTTTCTTGTAATATAGCTGTGTATATATATAATATTCGTCTTACTTTATAACTTTATGAACTTTATGTCTCATTGTTGCATCACTTGCATCAACAGGTCCATGAAAGGCAACCGCATGATCCCTTTCAACAGTTTGGGTCATTTGTCACTGCAAGCATACCACTTCATTTCCTGTCCGAGATCATATGACACACCTCCTCCACATCAAATGTTGCGAAGCCGTTCATTTTCCCTGCGTGTCTTGATGGCATGTGTTCTTTAACTTCCCCTCCAGACACACCTCATGATGCAGGATGTGCATGTCCGCTCCCAAACAAAAAACACTTCACTTCCCGCGCACGAGCTACCCCTCTAGGAGCTCAGTGCACGAGCCCCAGTACAATCAAGCCCCTCAGCACCCTCTGTTCATACGGTGCGCCCCAGCATTCGCAAATCCTCAACGCCATCGGTAAGGCGAAGACATGATCCTGCCTCAGCCGGGGTGCGAGGCTTCTCAAGCAATCATTCCAACTCTAAGTCCTGCAACAGTAACATTGCAGGCCCGTCCAAGCTGGGGCCCCGGTGTCCCATTCCTAAGAGTGCTAGCCAGCCTGCTTCCAGTGTGCGCACTCCCAGAAGTGTTGCTACTCCAGCAAGCATGGCCAAAGAACATTCTTCCAGTTCTCTGACCGAAAAGAACCTGCAGAACCACATCGCTTTGCAAAGTGTGATCAAGAACAGTTTTCCTTCTGAATATGAACGGAAACTCGAGGATGCCAAGCCGCCAAACAACAATCAATGGTTTGATTGGGTTTGCCCCGTGTGTCGAGAGACCGTACCCATCAAAGGATGGCACTATGGTAAGTATTACAGAGGGAAGCATCTCAAGCTTGCCCATCAGATGAAGCTCAGCCAATGCCCTCTGCCTGGTACACAGGCCCATACTCAACGTGCGCAGCTTCGTGCAAAACAAGCCGTGGAACAAGGCGTTCGGCACCACCCAAAATGCCGGATTGAAAGAACTCTTCCCCAAACAAACCACCTGGCTGTGTGCCACTTGTTTGTGTCGTGGCACCACTGCTAAAGTGGCCACCTATGACTGCGAGCCTGATAGCAAACAGGTCAAGCGTGCTCGATGGTGGAAGCAGCTAACTGCAATTGGCCACTGCCTTAAAGTGGACCAACGAATACAAAAACCGCATGGACAAGCTGTTCCGTGACACCCTCCAGAAATCCAAGCATCATAAGAAGACTACAAACAGTGTGAAATACAACCAAATGCTCAAAGAACAACGGGCCATTTGGAGGTAAACGCATGGGGTTTCTGAGGATCCAAAGAAAGTCGGCGGGGCTGCCAACAAACATGCAACATTCATCCCTGCCCTCCGGAAGACTTTAAAGTTGAAAGATTCTGCAAGCAAGGCGTCCAAAGCCGCCGACGCCAAGTGTGCAAATGTTGGCTTGAAACGACACTGGCAGGATCTTACCGAGCAAGGCATAGAATCACAGCCGGGGCCAAGGAGTGCTCCGGGCCAAATGATCCGTATTTTTCAATGCAACCTGTTTTCTTGGACGCAACGTGGGTCAGACCTTGTCAAGCTGGCTGACCAGGAAGGCGTCTCTGTCATCCTAGTTCAAGTTCAAGAAACTTTGTTGAAAGAACATGAAGCAGCCACTGTGGCTCGTAGTTTGAAAGATTGGCATTTCTACCATCAGACAGAGCAACGGGCGGTGTTGCCGTGCTCATCCACAAAGCTCTTCCCAGTGCTCGAGTTAATGGCGAATGGGTTACGGGTGTAATTCCTGACATGACCTTCACTTGTGGGAAAAGTCTGTCGGCATTTGAATTCCACCCTCACCCTGATAGCACTACGTTTCATGTCGCCATGCTACGTAGGTGCCGCTCTCTTCCACATTTTGGATGACGGAGACGGCGAATGCACGTTGGAGGAAACAGCGATGGGTGGGGGTTGCATGATCTGCAGGGGTGGATGGATTTGTAGATCGGATGGATTTCTCGCGAGATCGGATGAATTTGTTTGCCAAAGCCACACACAACACAAGACCATTGCAAATCATGTTAGGCACTTAGAGACGTATATATGTATAGTTATATGTAATCAACAATCAAGAGAAACACATTTCCATTGTCACAGATGCCTTGGGGAGTGCCTTGGGTTGTGAGGGGTTACGGTTACGCGGGAAAAACAGCGGGACTGACTTTAGCGCTACCTGGAGGAACGTAGGTGTGTACATTGGCGAACTCTCTGAACTCAGAAGCAGCAACCGCAAACTGGCCCTTTCTAGATCCGAGGAGTTTCACGATTGTTGGATAGCAACATGCAGATTTACACATGCATTTATTTGCTTTGTCAATGTTTGTCCTATAAAACTGTGCTTGTTTCCATACTAACAAGGTACATAAAGGGTACACTCACCTATTCTAATTTAGAAGCTGAAAACTGAATATGTTCTACCTGCTCTGACTAGAATAGCGGTAACTCCATGGCCATCCATGGCCTCAAGACTCCGACTGGACAAGGCTCCCAGATTGAATCTGCGGCCTTTGGTGAAACATCATGAAAGCCTCAGACCAGCCATTGAATACGTTCTTTTTTGGTGAGGTTTCTCCTCCCCGCTTTTTGGCTCATTTCCTCCAGACTTCCTCTTGGATGCCCTGCCCGGTTCCCCCACAGACCGCTGATTTTTTCAGGAGTTCATCGGTGGAATCTTGCGCTGCAAGGGCCCCGCACGCGCCATCGACCAGGTTGCCATGATGGCAGCTCCTTGGCTGAACCGAGGCCCATAGGTCAGGGGAAGAGCTTCATTACTTGCATGTTGCTATTGCTTCTGTGTAATTCGCCTCTTGCCTTCGAAGCTCAACATGATGATGTGCTGAAGCTTTTGGCAGCTCTTCAACGATTCTTCTGTCAAATGATTTGTTCATTGATGGTGTCTCATGACTTGTGAGCGCTTCTTTGAGCAGATGCGGGCTCTAGCAGGACCGAACGACGACTCTTTGTAGCGGTGGATCGGGTTGGTGGACCCGTGACCCACGTTTCGATTCAACTCATTTCGTTCCAACCGGGCTTTGAGACAGTGGTTAACCGATGTTTTCTTTCTTTCTTCTGGAACGAACGAAGCAGACAACGGACAGGAAGGTCACTCCCCAGTCCTTCTCCCCAGTCGTCTCCCCAGCCGCGGACCTTCTGGGGTTCCGGTTCCCAGGGTCCGAACTTAGTGATCTGTAGAACTGACGATGCTATCGACCTTGGGGGGAACGAGACCTGCGAACGTGCATGGGCCGAACATCCATCGGCCAATCGGACCAGTTCTCGGTCCGATTGAAGCTGGTAACTAGACAAGACTGACAAGACTTCCATGTAGACTCTTGATTAATAACCCCCCATATCCCCCCATATGAAGAGGTGTACTTGGTGTTTCTAAAAGTGTTTTCCAAATTGACACTCCTGGTTCCATGCCTTCACCACATATTGACCAGCTGACCTGCTCCTGTTCGATTCAATCCACGGTCTCACTGCACACACCACATGATACCACGGCACCACGGTTGTTCTGTTCTCCAAGGACTTGCGACAGTTAGACAAGAAGTTATCCAAGTTGATTCAAGGACTTCACGCGGCTTGGTCAAACATGGTCAAACGATGCGTCGATGCGTCGAGGTGGACGGTGGATGCCGGGATCATTTGAAACCGATTCAGGCCAGAGTATGGTTGAGTATACGTTGGTTGATTCAGGCATCCTGCACGACTTGCAGATGTTTTTGGTGTTATTTTTCTATGCAAGGTGCCTGAGATATTGATATTGTTCAATGTTCTTACCGCGTTTACCTGAAGGCAAGACGTTGGTTTTGCAGCTTCCAATCCCTGACATCAAACCGCTGGCTGGTTCTGCACCCAAACTCCACACTCCGAGGGCCTCCCTGCAAAAGTGAGGGATGTGGTCCTAAGTAGAAGATGCCAGTCCAAGGATCCTTTGATAGGTGAAGGGACCATGATACGCGGTTTTGCTTAGGCTATCTTAGGCTTATGTTGGACAAACTACAGGCTGTGAATTCTCTTCTGGGGAATATAGTGGATCATCAACTGTTGGCACACAGAGTCACAACAGACTAGTTAGCACATGGAAACGCACTTGATCTATTTTCTGTGCTGACATCTTGGGTCTGAGCCTGTATGTGTTCGGCGCTGACACGACATGTTTTTGATGTTTCCCGGTTCAAGAAGGAGCCAGACCAAGGTCAGGTCAAGGGGGGGGATGGTTCTCAGCAATCCTTAGACCCGTTCGCCTGAAAAAAGACCCACCGTTTTAACAGTGTTGACCTGGCTTTGTTTTCGAAAATCCTGCGTAAATCAACGATTTTGGGGTAGAAAACTCACCCATTACATGTAACTATAGGGTAGGCTTTTGTAGGGACTCGTGGGGCTGTGAACTCACGGAGCGTCTGGGAAGTTCATCATGCCGTTTCCACCACCCCTGGGGGGGCCTCCTGGCCTCCATCAGATATGACCAAAGTGAAACAAAGCAGGTCTGCTCAGAGATGTATCTCAGCCTCGGTCTATTCAGGTATAGCCCTGGGTGTGTTGCGGTGTTGCCATCAGCTCTAGAGACTCCAGAACTCAAGCAGAACTCAAGTTTTCTTGCTCAGATCCACTCAAACTCCTATGTTGCTTAAGGTGACTGTTTATGAGGTTTAACTCCCTTTCTTGTTAATATTTCATATTATATATTATATATGTTTGTTTTTTTTCCTGGTTCCTGGTTGCAAATCCAAGAACTTGGGTCTTCCAAACAGCCCCACCTTCCGATTCCTCAGACGCGAAGAGCGATTCGCCAAGGACGCGCAGATTGTCGTGATTAACGTGCGGGGCTGAGCGCTCGCTGGTTTGTGGTGATGGGTTGGAGGTGATCTTAGTGAAACAAACAGGGTGGACGGTGGGGTCCAATGAAGCTTGAAACACACGCAGACATCTGCGGCAAGCAATGCTGCAACATCTATAGACTCACCAACTGGGGGAGTTTCACTTATGCCGTAGTCATGAGGTGACATCAGCTTTTGTGGTGCATGGGTTTGTTGTAGTTATAGCATTCACCGTCATTCACCCCAGAAAAAACAGGAATTTTTGCAAAGTAGGTTTTGGGACCAAAAGCAAGCCATGTGTGGGGACCAACAAGCAAAACCCCACGTTTTCCGTGGCGGTGGTGAGGTCATTCATGATCTCTCCCCTCTTGGGTAAGATGTTTGAAGGTTGGATGTTTTTGCTTCGCCAGAGTGAAACATCAAGAGATATATATAGATATATACCTGGACCGAAACTTGAACGGGGTGTCCTGGCTGGAGGTCCCTTAGTAGTGGGCTGGGGCTTCCAGCCAGGTGACCCCTTTGAAGGTGCTGGCACATATATATATATAATATAATATATATATATATATGCCTAAAAGCCAAACAAGACGTATATATATATATATATTTGCCTAAAAGCCAAACAAGAAGCGAACATGTCTTTTTCCAGCTGCAAATTGCGGGGTTCTGGGAACGAAGCGGCTTGAGAACCAATTTTGGCCGCTCCTTCCGACCGAACTCGGGAAGAGTTCGGTTCGAACCAACGGGGCACCGGGGCACCGGGGTGTCGCATGACTTCAACGTTTCCACGAATTGGGGGTGTAAAACAGAGGGTCATAGAGGCGGTCTCGATCCTTCAGGGACGGATGACTCGGAGATGAAATCCGGGTCCGATCCCATGTCACTTTGGACATGGGTTCAAGAAGCAGATGCTGTTCAAGAAGCCAGTTTCACCCTTTGCAGTGTTGGTTCACTGAATTACCCCAAAAAGTCTCCCTCCTTTTGGAGCCAGTTTCACCACCCCTCCAACAGACGACCTTTCTTGGGACCTGTCACTGGAACATCAAGATCTCTACATCACGGAACTGAAGAACGGAGCAGGAACTGAGGATCCAAACGGTCAGAGCATACCGCATGCCCTTTGGGGAGGTCCAAGTGATTCTCAAACCCGGGAAGGTCACACTGTGACTTCCAGCTTTTGTGTTTCTCACATGGCTTTTTCTGACATCAGTAGTCAGGACCATTCAATCAGTCACCAACACACTACGTCTAATATACTTACAGATCTTAGGCAGGACAGCCAGGATGATCCTGGTAGCTTCAGTTTCACACCGCGTTGTTTTCCGCCTGCCACCATACAGGCGCTTTTCCCCGCCTGCATCCTCCCCAGCCTTCCACTGCTTTTCCTTCCACCCGGTGCATCCGAAACCAAGCTGCTGCGAGGAGAGTGGAGAGATGCCCCGGCCAATCTCCAAGTCCGCGAGCAATTCGCAGCATTCCTCCACGAGCATGGAGGCGGGAGCGATCCTCAGCGGCGAAGAGGACGGACGGGAAACACACGGGATGTTTCACCCGGAGATCGGGTGCCGGTGAAGAGGAAACCGATTTGGCATAGGCTTCGACCATGGAGTTCGGGTGGTTTTAGGAAGGCAAAGAGTTGTCAGGGGTGTTTGTAAACCATCCGAAATCCGTGGTGCTGCTGGTTTTCAACGCAATAATGTTGTGTCGTGGGAATTGATCGAAAAGCGCTCGGCTCCGGAGGCTGGAAGAAAAACGACTCTGGATCGACACTAGTTGAGGACACACACCCAGACTGAAGGGTGGAAGAGCAGTTGAATGATATATGGGTAGCTCTGAACCTCCCTCCCCTCCCTCCCACCCCCTTTTTTTTAAAACCCGTTTGGAGGGTTCCGTTTTCCTCCGCCACCACCGGCCTCGCGGCTCGCTGCCAGGTGACGAAGACGCAGAGCCGCCGACGGGCGTCCGAAGCGGCGCAGAGCTTTCTTTACAAAACCTCGATGTGGGGGGGCCTCGGTTTCGGTTTCGCTTCCGCTGCGGCGCGAGGAAGAAAAGTGGCGGACTAAGCCTGGTCTTGGGCTGCCTGGATGTTGGATGATGTTGGTGTTCCTAGGAAGGTGATGAGTGATGAGTGCGAGAATGGTTCTAATTAGGATGTTTTAATGGTGGAGCTGCAGTGCTGCATCCCTTTGCAAAGCATTGTGCTGATCTCTCAGATCAAGGCATTGTAGCAGCACGGAGTGCCATGTTGGATGGCACTTACAACACGATCTCCCAGGCCCACAGGTGTCCCATTTCCCTTTTTGCCTGCCCCGCCATGCTGAAGCCCAGCCTCGATCAGCCTGACGTCAGAAAAGAAAACAACACACCCTAGGGCTCCAAGTACATTCTGACAAGCTGTTTGGGATGGCTTTGGAGGGTCCAGTCATACCATCGGAGGCACAAAGGTCGCAGCGTCACTCGACCTGACGACTTCGACCTGACTGGACGCGAGGCTTCCGAAGCTGAAGCATGCGGGGACCGCTTCGTTGGGTGCAGAGGAGACCTTCGTGATGTAGGCGCGCCGGCGGCATTCGTTGCGTGAGGCGCGCCATTCGGGGGTTTCAACGCCGTGCTGGCAACGGGCAGGAACGATTCCGCGACGTATTTGGGGTCGTTCGCTCTTTTTTAGCTGGCGGCATCCGAATTATGGAGGTTTACATGGCCCCCCTTTGGCAAACATGGAAGTGGAACATGGCCCCTTTGGAAAACGTCTATGTTTTTGTTCTCTAATCAATTACCAATATCTACTAACATCTACTACAGTAACCACTTCCGTGATGATTTCAATGTATGTGGTGGGGTATTGCCCAAGTGAGAGGTTTTTTGCATTTGAGCTTGAGCCCACTGTTGGTCTGCAGAAGAGGTGCGATTTGATCTCAGCTCCACAATTAGTTTTGTTAATGCTTGGTATACAGAGTTTCTCGGAATGGACGCTTTTCAATGTGCTTTCAACAGGAGAGCGGAGAATAGGCCCCAGGCCCCCACCTAATTTGTTGCTCCCACATGATTTTGGAGAATTGAATTCAAAGATCGCTGACCAATTCTCAACGAAAGAGGAGCGCTGTTTTCCGGCGCTTCTGTTTGTAGGAGCCCATCCCGCTCAACTAGGGACCTCCAGGACTCCAGGACAATAGGGACCTGCTGAAGGTCTTCACCTGTCACACCAAGTGCAGCCACTGAGTGCTGTGGGCGGGGCAACGACTGTTAATAGGCCTTAAATGGTTGGACGTACATGGATTTCCACTGACCAAAAGCGACACTCAAAGGCAGGTCCCAATCGAAGAGCTGTGTTTCTTTATTGCATGACCAGAAATTCAGGAATGAGATCAAGGATGGTGACTCAAGTCACCAGTCCAGGTTTGTGGCTTGTTAATGCCCACTCATGGTCCGATCTTCTAAAAGATCTAAAAGTTCTCAAAGTTACCAGCGAACCGAGACAGCCCGATGTTGCAAAGTGCCGAGATGCATTTGGTTGGAAAGAGACATTGAGATCTGAACACCTGGCCGCAACCCCAACGTGAACTTCAGCCTGAACTATCGAACGGTCGGCAGAAAGACACTGGTACCTGGAAAACCAATATAGAGAGAGCGATATTCTGTAGGCATTAACCATGTTTTGAGGCCTCCAACTTGTGCATGTTTTTCTTCAGAGACCAGACCGACCTGACCTTTTCCATCCTTTTCCCTTTTCATTCCAACTCCTGCGGGCTGAGTCGAACGGCACAGGTGGCCCACGTGTTTCAAGATGCGGTTGACTTGCCAATTGTTTTGCGCAAGTTTGTGGAGTTGTGAATCGGTCGGGGTGACCAACTGGCAAGACATGCTACTCGAGCTATTGGAAGATCCTATGAATGGGGTTAAGCTTGGAGGTAAAGGATTTTGGTTTGGTATCTGAGTGGAATCAAGCCAATGGAGTCCTGTATTGACCTCTTTAAATTACTGCATTGTTGCATATGTTTACTCAGTCATTTGGTCAGGCTTGTGAAGGGTATATAGTAGATGCAGTTTGTTTGGAGCGTCAACTCAAGATCACCGGATCACCCCCCCGATCCACCGGCATCTGCCACCAATCGCGTGGGAGCACACACGCATTGATGTTTTTGATCGTGGGAAGACTCACGCTTGTTTCACCTGCCAATCTGTGCGCAAATGCGCTGGCTTTTTTCCAAGAGATTGAGCTGCCTAAGGTGCACCCATTAAACATTGGAAGAACCTTGCAGGCCATACAGCGAGAGTCAAGATCGACAGTGCAGAAGATGTTTGATGGCTTCAGGATGTTGGAAGAATGCAACTTGATGTTTTTTTCATGTTGCTTGAAGCTGGATGGCTTGCTTGAGAGGATTGAAGTGATTCACTGTTGGTGGTTTGCTGTTATTGAGTTAGGCGAGGGCAACCATGGGTTTGGGTTTGATAGTTTTGATCTTGTATGCCGACCCTTACTTCGTTGCTTGGACCTTTACGGTGACCCCCAAAAGCATCCAATCATTCCCCCAACCCTACGAGCCTTCTCGAGCCCTACAACCCTACGCCTGACCCAGGATCTTGCTTCTCACCATCTCGGACGTCCGAAGAGGGAGACCGGCGAGGCGATAAACCTGGAGGCATGGTCCAACGTGACCTCGGAACATGCGTAACGTATAGAAGTATAACTACCATCATAGTACGCCTACCTATATATAATGTTTATTAATGTTTTATTTAGGTACTTTGGAGGGTCCAGAGTCCAGGAAGAGCAGCGGCAGGACCCAGAAAAACTGAGCCAACATGAATGATTCATGGCCGATGTCAGCCATTGGGGCCTTTTCTGTCGGATTGAGAATCAACTAGCTTGACATACCTTGACTCTGCCATTTTGGGAGGCGAGTCTCCATGGACAACGGTTCACCAAAACCTTCTGTTGAACTTCGCCACTCCCTTCGCGCCGAGACACCCCGCCGGCCATTTCGCTGCCCGTGGGCCGAGACCTGCGCATGATAACCGAACTCCCCTGCGCATGGAAGAAAGACAAGGGTGACACAACATGACGGACCTGGAAGCACCTCGAACTACTGATGCTTGTGATCATCACCTATAGCTAGCGCCGCAGTGGCATGTGGCAAACCAAAAGATGAAGCGCCATCACCTGAACGGCTCAAAGTATGGGCCACCGATCCAAGTTGATGCCCCCCATCTTGGAAGAGGGTTTCAAAGATCCTGGTTCTAGAACCCAGACACTCCATGTCATGGAATATAATTGGAATAATGTAAGCAGCTTACATTTATCCCCCCAAAACCCCGGGCAAATATGGCAGTCCGCTGGACTGAGTCGGAGTCATGCAGTGCCAGAGATCCCAGTACCTTCTCAGAAGGGAGCATCAGGGAGCTGGAAATCTAGTCGTACCTTCTCAGAAGGTGAGCGGGGATATGTGCTATTTATGTAGGCGCCAGGGGGGGCCCAGTCGTACCTTCCGCGAAGGTATGTGGATCCCTATAGGGTAGAGAAGCTCTCTGAAGAGATCGGAGAAATGGGGGTCCAACCCGATCCAACCCACAAAGGATTCCCCTCAGGCATAAGCAGCTGGGCAAGTGACAGAAGGCAAGGGACAGGTGGTGTTTCTTATTTGTGGCCCCTCAAACAAGGGCAGTCGTATGAGGATTTTTTGTGGATCATTCCATGTTTTAAGCTTAATTTACAGGGAGATCACACTAGACAGACATGTTTTATTGGACCCAAGTCAGGAGTCCACAGGGACGAAGAACAGGTCCACAGTGGCAGCAAATCAGCTGTTGCATTTGTGGAGCATTTGCAGCGGCTACGCAAGCCAGAGGGTGCCAATGTTGGTTACTGACATGGAGTGAAAGGGAACTGTCATCACTTAAACAAGTTGTTGGTTGTTGTTTTGCTCGCTGTTTGACTTGTCTCAGCTGGGTTAAACCCAACACCCAGAAACATGTCCAGGGGTTTTGTTCGGCGTCCGCCAAAAGTTTTGGATCCCTCCATTATACACCGAAGGATCCCTCCATGTTTTGTTCATGTTTTTTCCAGGAGATGTAGTACTATACCGTTTTGTTTGATGCTTCCTTTGTTTTGCTTCACCCTTTCCATTGGCGGACCGGTGGTGAATTCAGGTCTGTGTTTTTTGCAGTCCAAAAGCACCACTGAGGAGAATTGAACAACACCAGATCGAGATGAAATTCACTTTTGACGCTCATGAGACGAAGTGACACCATCTGAAGTGACCCGTTTGATGCGGGCGACCTGGAGCCCCTCCCAAAAGCTGATCCTGACTGAATTGGTTTTATGTTGGTTGGTATGTCCGTATGTAGGTCCGTAGGTCCAAAGGCACCCCTTTGTGACTCCTGGTACACCATACTTCGCAATCTCTGTTGCGCATCATTGACACTCACTCCCGGAGTTCACCACCTGGTTGGTACATGTTGGTACTTCGGGTTCAACTGGTCCGCAACGAACTCGGGGGCCATGCCATCTCCACGTTGGCCCATGATGATGTCAGGGAGTGTTTTTTCTTTGATGGCCTTTCAGATCAAAGCATGGGTCAGATAGCTTCCAGGTATCCTTGGTGGAGTCACCCCAATGTTCGGGCTTTTTGGAAGCCGAGCAACACAGAAACATGTCATGCTCAGTTTGGACGATGTCATGACGAACTTGCTGGTTCCTGGCTAACTTGGAGTACCAACCACCCACTGGCCCAGAAGTGTTTTGCTTTTGCTCTTTTGAGTCAAACAGTAGCCTTGATAGGGTTCCGGTTTAGCTTAGGGAGAAAATCTTGCGGGCTACACAAGGAACTTGATCTGCCCTGGCTGGCTTGTGGTACACTCACGCGCCTAGCGAACGGAACCGGCTTCGGTTCGTGTTCACGGCCGCTTCACGGCCTAGCCGAACAAACCTCAGCTCGGGCGACACTGTCTTCCTTGAGACCGTTTTCGTTGTGGGGTGTGTGAAGGAGGAGGTACAGGTACAACATGTAGGTACTCGGTTTGGATACCAAGAACCCCCTTTGACTTTCGTTTTGATCAGAAAAGACAATTTTGAAGGCTCCCAAAACAGAGATGAGACAACTGCTTATCCAAGCTTTGCCAAAATACTATCAGATAGTGAGAACATGTTGGTGATCATTGTAATGCGCAATCACAACAGCTTCTTGTGATGGAAATGGGAGTCTTCAGCGATTCAGTGATGCTTATCAAGCCAAGGCCAGCCCTCCAGCCCAGGGGAGCTGAAGCATCCTCAAGCCACCAAAGGTCACCACAAAAGATGCTTATTCCAGGAGTCACATAGGGGTGCCCATTATGCACTCACTGGATGGGACGAGCCACACCACCCTTTTTTTGACTCCTGGTTTCTATGGGTTTTTCCAACTGGTGATGCTCGCAAGAATTGGCAGAGTTTGCTTTCGGAGTCTTCCCTTCTTTTTTTTGTGACAGGTTGTTCTGAGTGGGTTTTGTAGGAGCTACATCACCCGAGAGGATTGAGCTGAAAACACCAGCATCACCCATGGCCGTAACCATCGCTAGTCTTACCGGCCTGTGATCTACTGTGAACCCAGGCGCCATCATGTACTGCGGTGTCTTCTCCTTTACGCTCCGTACTGACGTGGTCAGCATCGTCCGAATTAAGCGATTTCGTGTTGTTCCTGGGTTGATCGTTTTGCTCTGTATCAGAGCAATATCATTTATTTGTCGAGTCAATATCATTTATTTATCATTTAAAAATAGTTTCACAGGGATTTATACATAGTTTCACAGGATTCATAAATAGTTTCAAGGCTGCCCCCCCCAGCAACAGACATACTGTTTAAAGAGGCCCCAGCACCCCTTAAAGTCAAGTATTTTAATATGTATAAACGAAGTCACATAACCAAACAGTGCCTTTCGCCAAACACACAGGGCAGCAAGCAAACAGGATTTCTCATAGAGTGTTGTGCAGAAAGTCTTAATTTTGGTGAATGAACTCCGCCTAGTGTTCAAGTTTTTGTTTGAAGAATTTGAGCATTATTTTCCTGCAAGCCTGCAAGGTCGATAAGTTTGTCCATCAGTGTGTTCAATTGAACAACAAATCAGTGCTTGGGGCTCTCGCAACTTGGTGCTTCCATGGTCTTCTCTAAACCAGTGTTTTGAACGAGCACATCATGAGTCACATCATGCCATCATGCCCTTAAAGAATTGCAGGTTCAGAACGGAGAAAGTATATACATTAAAGCCCTTCTGCGCGCAACGCAAGAGAGTTGTGTGACTCACAAAATGAGGTTCAAACGGACGCTCCGTTTCGTGGGGGTGCAGATCAACCCCGAGGCAGCGTGAGTTTTTCCCCATGTGTTTGATGTATTCGCCGAATCCAAAAGAGATGGGCCGCCTGGTGGCCGGGGGGGCTGAGACCATCCGGTGCCGGCTCCTTGGGTGTGGCCGAATGTTCAAGTTCCTATAACTCCTTTGATCAATTTGTTGTTTAATCTAGTTTTTTTTTTTGGCCCGCTCCCTCCCCTCCCTACTTATATGATATGATACAACTAAGTGGGCGCCTACTACTTAACTATGTAAGGGAGAGTAGCTAGTAGCTTAAGTAGCTACTAGTATGGCCGCAGGATAGCTCACGCTCGCACTAATGATTTGGTTCCTATAGATGTTTAGGGAAACTTAACTTACCTGTTTACTATAACTCCTTTGATCATAGTTTCCTCCATGTTTCTCCACTTGCGAGTCATCACCCAGCACTTGCGGTCCAATGAATTCCAATCCAGACACGACGTGTTTGCCACTGGCATATTTGCCTACATTTGCCCTTGATGGAATTCATCAGTGCCCTACATTTGACTGGCATATTTGC